ACAATTTTCTTTTAGAAAAGATGCAACACTTAATACAACGGAGCAAGATATCTCAAAATAAAGTTGTTTACAGACAAAAAACAATAATAATACATGTCACAGTAAAACCAATAGATCCCTTACTACACTCTAAATCAAAAAAATAAAAACCTATATCACCCAGGTGACGATTCGATATATACACTATATAGCAGTGGCCAGTGGTTCACAATATTTTTTTGAAAGACCTTAATGCACAATTTTGGAACCGCTGCTATACACTATCTATCAATTGAACCATAAGACTATTTTATGTTGAAGCGCAAAATAAGTTATGAAAATGGGTTATTTTATGTGTAGTGCCGAGACCATGTACACTTTATTAATATGCATCCGCGTATACCCGCGTATCTATCCAAAAACCCACTGCGTATACTCGTAATAGACGAATTTTTTTAAAAGTATATGCAAATCTAAATCTAAATTTAAAAATCGGGGTCCGGGTATATGACGTATACCCCAGTATACCCTCCAATATACCACTGGTTTAAACGATGCAACAAACAATTTAACTGCGAAACTTTTATTTCGCATTTTTTAAACATACGTCAATATGCTCCCCTCCCCCCCTGGAATTTCGAGTCTTCAATACCATTGCCATTTAGTTCATTATTTGTTTGATATGTTTCGCAATTTGTTTAAACGACATATTTTATTTATACTAATATTATAATCTTTATACCGTTCACATTATCGTTTTAGAGATTATCGTCTCACATTCAAACGCATCTAAATATTACCGACATTGATAAAATACTTGTTTCAACACCTAAAATAGAAAAACTCATTCGGAAAAAAGATTAAGTTATTACATTTTTATATCGCTACGACATATCTGTTTTATTATCACTTTTAATTTATGACAAATTTAAAACAATTTGTTTGCGAGCGTTCATTTTCGAACGTTCTGTCATAAACGTACGTGCTAACTTACAGTTTTATTTCATTTTCATACAAATCGTTTATAACATTTGCTTTTAAATGTTCAGTTAATATAGTGAAAAAAAACTACCATTCCCGGGTGTCTACTTTCCGGGTTTATACTTTCCGGATAATTATGCTCCCTCCTCCCACCGGTACTTTATATACTTTCCGGGGTTTTACGTTCCGGCATTTTACTTTCCGGGAAATTATTTATATTGGGGCGGGGGGCCTATAGTTTTCTGGAAAGTAAACTATATATCGCGTTATAAATCATAATACGGTCGCCGAGTGCAAAGCATACACGACAATAATAACAATATATTATGTAATATGAAATACCGGCTATTCGTGTCCGTGGCGGAAAATTATATAGCGTATTACGATTTACAATAAAAAATTATTATATATATATGTAGCTGTCTATATTTGTCTATATAGGCGTATACGAGACACATGCGTGTCGGTTGTATCAAGCGCAAACAGAGAATTGTTTGCGATTCCGCCACATATTGCAATTTTCTAGGTCAGAAAACGACACGTACCCGCGTGTGTTTGTCGTAAAAAAAAAAAAAAACAATAACAATGCCGCCCGTATGAAAACATTAAACGAAAAAACAGACACCTACGCTGACGATGGTCGTTGTTTTTTTGAAGCATCTCCGCGATAAAAATTCTACGCTGTATATCGAGTCCCGACGTACTAGTTGTTATTGACCTACGTATAGTAGCACGTTTAGGGGCGTGCGAAAATGTTCAATGATTTTATGTGGCAATTTGTAGAAGACAAAGGAAGCAAGTTTAGTATGTGGAAAACAAAGAACTTGTTCAAATGCGGGCGGACCTATCTGAATTGGGAAGCAGGAAACTTATTTTGACCCAGGGAATAGAAATATTAGATGCGTCACTGTCTCCATGATATTTGACCGGGAAGAGGAAATAGTAAAATGTCTCTGTTAAAATTTTACTGGAGATTCCCACCCCAGTCAAATTTTGCTAATGAATATTTTTATCCTTCACCAAAAATGAAATTTTACCGGGTGGTTTAAATATCACAGGAGTCAGTTTTCACGGTTTCACTGGGTTTCTGCATTACACTATAGATGGCTTTCGAATTAATTTAAATGTAGTACGTAGTTTGCATTATTTAATTAATGTTGATCATGACGTGTATGAATATATTATAATAATGCGTAAGCTCATAATTTATATAGTTAATTAGTAAAGAGAATAAATAGATTAATCAGTGGTTTAATCAGTATTCGATCAGATAACCGACAAGTCCGTCTATTTATAGAAAATGTTTGAAAATCAGTTTATGTATTGTGTTATGGTGGATACGGAATAAGGGTACAATTCAGTCACGCAATTAGTTCATACATTTTGAGTAAAAGGCTTGAGTCCCATCATAATATTAAATGAACATGTTCAACAGGGTTTTGTTTTTATGCTGGGAGAGCTTCAAACAATCCAAGGGACAAGCCCCAATCCTAGCCTCTTAATTGGACCACTGGTATAATTATAAAGACATTGAAAATATAATTGTTTATTGTCGTTAGATAATCACTGTAAATCACGATTATAAAAAAATGCACTCTGTATAGCCCTATTTTTAGATACTATCCGGTTTTTTGCTCATAATATTGACATTTGATTTCGCAACATTGATTAAAAATACTGCAGTTTGAGTTTTGTATAATAGTTATTCAAATACGTTTTCGACACACAACAAATCTACCTATTTAAAGTTTCCGCGGTTGTCACACGTACTACCGACTGGTGTGCCTTGATGTAGGAATTCTACCGTCGACGTACAGTTTTGAGAGGATGATTTTCGATTCAAAAAGAAAAACAGATTGCAAATTCTAAGCGTATACCCTGCAGCCCATTTCCGTTCTTTTATATAATACACACGAGAAAACCTAATGTAGCGTAGAAATGAAAAGTATTTGTTTTCTGCAGGTACTTGTTTGCCAAATAACGGTATTTTCGGTGCAACAAAACTCGTCTGTATGATATAATATGTGTGACCTGCATATAGATAACCGTCGGTATTACATGTGGGTTTTAGTTGTTTTTCTTTTTTTTTATTAAGAAAACTAAAAATTCCATCCACCCTGTTGTTATTGTGCTCGTCCGTTTATTTATTAATATTGTTATACTCGCGCATTTCCGGAATCTAATGTTGCTATGACCGCTCAACTTCCCACAAGTATCGGTCACGTATATACAACAGAAAAAAAATGACCCGATGCGTTCTATTTCTATATTTGCACTGAAATCAAATAGCTGTATCCCGTTCAAAAAAAAAAAAAAAAAAAACAAACTTATTCACACAAAATTTGATTGAGTAAATCGGTTTGTGATGCTGGTTTTTTTATTTGGTTTTAATTTATCATCATTGTGCAAAACCGATTTTAAACAGATTTAGTTAGAAATTTACGAGCAAATCAGTTTTCCAACTTTTAACTTAATGTTCCTATCGTCTATTCTATTGTTATCATAATATAGTATCATTGTTATTACAAGATAAAACTATAAACTGAATAATTTTGCTAGTAAAATAAACTATATGAGTGACTTGAAGTATATTAAAGGCATAGTAAAATGTGAACTAGTGATATCTTAAAATATGACGAGAAATTAACAAATTGGATAAAAGGAAAAGATTCAGGTCTGTGTTGAGAACGAATAGGGATCGGTAACTATCGATCACTATCGAATCTATCATATTTACGACACAATTGTTACTCTGTATACTTTTCAATGTGAGGTTTAAAAACCAAAATCGTTTAATTTGTATCACGAAAACCGGAAGATTTTATATACTTGTATTTCTTGATAAAACCCTAAAATCTCTTTATTATCACTACAGACATGCAGTGGCCGAGTGAAGGAGTATCCTATGAAGCAACAACTTCTTGACCAAATTATGTGGGTGAAAGTTTCGTTGCAGTGACGATCACATGATTTCGGTGTGATGTTGATTTTTTAACAATTTTTAAACAATTATTATTATTTATATTTTATTCTTTTTTAAAAATAAATAGGTAACATAGTATATTATACATATTAATAAGAAAAAGGTTATGGGTATAGCTCATCTCAATCCCCTCCGTTTAATCATCCCTGGGTGAACGTGGCACTTTATCACCAATTAATGATAACAAAAAAGACAATGTACGGGTACGGCTCATGATTGTTTTGGGCTGAAACTGTTTCATAAAAAAAAGAGTTTCACGCCATCACTTCTACGGATATTAGCAACTAAAAAATAGTTTAATAGGTTTACTATCATAAAATGCACGTAAACTGCAATCGATGAAACTGTATTTATTTTGTACTGTCACTGCATCGTATTACGACGAAAACTTATGTTTTTATCTTTGCATTATTTTACGTATATAGTGTTTTTTTTTATGATATTCAAAAAAAAAATTTGTTTTGACTATAGGGACACAACTCGTGTAGGTATTACCGATAAAATTGGCGAACTGGCGAAAATGTATATCATAGTAATTATTATTATCCGGTGCTATATCACACAGTATATGATATTATTATATGATAATGATTTTTACATGTCGTTGGCGATTTTCTGTATAATACCGTATCGGCAATCGTCTGGTCTGTTAGATCGAAATTCAGCAATAATATTATTATGATTTTACGGACCGTCGAAAGAATTCGATTTTTTTTTTCGTTTTCAGATTATACACACGTGCCGTGAAAAAAAACATTACGAAATTATAACTGCAAAACATCATCAATGTACATATTATAATAGCGTAGTAACTGTATTATTTAGTCGTATCAATTATTAACCGGCTATAATGTAAATAACAAACAACAATTATATAATACAGGTTTTAGAACAGATGTTTTTAAAAAATGTTTTTTTTTTTTTTTGTCATCCGCGAATAATATACGGTTTGTTATTCTGTTGTTGTTTGTATCGGGCAACGCTTAAATCCCAAAAACGATTCTAACAATATTATCATATAATACACTTGTAATATATATATATATATAAATATATAATAAATACTAGGTAACCCGTCACCGTCAAACAATTTCTATAAAAATGTCTTGAACACAAAAATGTTGGGAGCACAATAATGTTGCCACATAAATAATATGTACAAATATATCTTAATTTTGTTCAACTTTTCTTTACATTTAAATTTTATTTAGTGTAATTTATTTGTCATTTTCACTGGTATAATACGGTAAAAAATTATACATGGTGTTGAAATTATAGGTCTCTACGATTAATTTCAACTGAATTAAAACAAAAAAAAAAGACGGACATACTTCGCACGTGGTAGTAGGCACTATTGTAGGTGGAAAATTGGGAAGGTAGAATACAGAAAGGAATTCAATGTATATCTGTAAGCAATGATAAACCATTGCTACCGTAAAAACGATTCTGAGCAGAGTTCAGTTGATAGTGATGCTTTGTCAACAATATATATATGTCATATTATAGTAAAATAATTAAATAGATGTTATATATTTTCTTTAATAATATTTGTTTAATATTGAAACGAATTTCCCGTTATTCCTACGTTTTTCCGGTTTTCACATTTGCTGGAAAAACTGAAAAATTACCCCTTTAAAGTACCACCCCAAGAAAATTACCTTTCAGAAAAGGGTCTACATCGAATACATCGAAAAAGCTTTCTGGTAGAAAAAACGTTCACATAAAAAAAAATAAACAAAAACATAAACATCTTTGTAAAACCAATACATTTTTCGCTACACTCAGAATCTAAAAAAAAATACAAATTAATAGAAACCATTGTTGCTTAAATCGTCTCGTTACGGAATTTCTGAAAAATAAAATTCTAGTCGCATCTACTATATATAAAATTTGCTTCTACAAATAATTTCTGAAGTTGATCAGAATAAAATTTCCAAAAGAATAGTTGTTTATAGTCCAGAAAAAAACATAAAAAATCGTACGAATTAGTCAGACCAACTCCTTCATTTTTCACTTCACTCAGAAACTAAAATGATTAATAAATAATGAATTCAACAATATAAATATTGAAAATAATATAATTGCTTAGTTTTTTTTTTTTTTTTGCTTCATAGGTCATTTGCAACTTTTATCAAAAATCTGTCTAACCAGACCAATCATCAGTATATTCAATTCTCGCTTCTTTTTTTAAATATTTTGTCACGCACTTAGTCTTTTGAAATACAAGTCTTATAAAATGTATCCTATAATTCAAATTTTTAAATTGCTCAATTTCAATAAGTACCTTCTAATCTCGTGCCACATTATACACGACAGACTTATTTGAACAACGTCATCGTTTCGGTCGCATTACAACGTTATCTGTACTTATTATTTTTTATTTTATTTTGTGTAGCGATTGTTTTTTTTTATATAAATAATATGTTGCGTGTTTCGACGTTTATCTCGTCACCATAATAATGGCGGCGCTGATTATGATAACATTATATTTTCGAAATCGCGTTTCGCGGATCGTTTTTTTTTCGCGGGGGGAGGGAAAACCATTGCGTCTGTTACCGTCAATGGAAACCGAACGATCTGTGGGGGAGAGACGGACATATTATTATTATCGTGTGAAATTGACCGCCATTTTCAATGCGGGGAATGGTTAACATATGTTCAAAACAATATATTATATTATACCTTTAAATCTATGCAGGGGCGTAGCGAACAGCCAAGTCCGTTCGGCCTACTGACTTTATACATGTACACAATAAAAAAACTTACTTATTTTTATTCGCTCATAAACCAAATAACTTAAAAAATAAATTTATAGCCGAAATATTTATGTTTATATATTATGTATATATATTTTTTTTTATTCAACTGTTGAATTTATCGATTATATAGTAGCTTTCGGATGTATAATTTTCTAAAATAAAATCAGTAAAACATTCTACTCGATAATCTTGAGGTAGAATAGAAATTAAGTCATCGGTAAAGCAGTCATTGACATCTGGCAGGTCTAAAAACGAAAGCCCAAAATATATTTTTAATATTTACCAATTTCAGAGTTTTTATTTTTATATTCATTAACTAGATCCAATGATTGGATTTTTCTAAACTTTGCTTGTCCCAGATGAAATCGACAATCATTAAGTTGTGCTGATGGCTAAAATTTATTTACGGAAACATGAACTGCCTCCTCAAAATCAGCAAATACACTTTTAGGATTAACACATAAATTAAGTTTTTGACATTCTGAAATTATTAATTTAAAAGCTGCTTCGTGGTTGAAGCTTTGTCTAAAATTAAAGAAAATACTAAAGGTATGTAGTTATTATTTTTTATTCTGTGGATAGTAAACAGTTGAGTAAATTGTAATGGGTAGCTTAAATATATATGTGTCATTTTCTCTTAGATCTTTATGAATAATTTTTGAAGGTCTCTCAACTGGATCATCTAATGCTTTTCGTTTTAGTCTATTGCTAACTTTTTGTCTATTTATTAATAAATCGCTCTGTTGTTCATGAGTGATCAATAGATTTCTTAACTATAGGTTTAAATTAATTTAATTTAAAAAACGACTTGCAGATTTTTTGCAGCAAGTTCAGTGTTGATAAAGTTTTTTGATTTTTTGATAAATGTTTATGAAAACGAAATTTGTATCCATCGATCAAAAAAATACTTTTACTTCTTTCACTTAGTAACACTTCATGGTAGTCGGTGAGTCGATGTACTTCGTAAACTAAAGTGTATAATATAATGATATCGATATACTGTATTTATTTTACTAGCAACGGTAAAAATAAAATCTGAAATGCCTGAAAAATAACATAATGATACTGCATAATACCCACCTATAGAACAGTAGCACGCTCGTTTTTTCTCTTCGTATTTTACTTTTTCACAGATTACACGGAAAAGACAAATCGCCTTACACGCTCGTAGGTACTATACTTCCTATGTAGTATAATAGTATGCCGAACTGCCGAGGACATCACCAAGTCAACGACGACGACGGTGGCGGCGTATAATTCGTATGCGGTCCACCTACCAGGTGTTCTGAGAGCCCGCAGCAGACTTACGTGTATAGATATACCAATAATAGGTAGTCGAGAAATGATGTATAACATTACATAGGTATATTTTTTTTTTTTCGGTGGTATTATTCTTTCCCTCTCAGTCGTCGGCCGTCGCTCTAGATTGTCGCTGCGACGACTGGGACATCTGGCGCGTACCCACGTGCAGCGTATGATGCTCGCGCACACGCGTGTATATATTTACCTGGTTTCCGAGGAGGTGAAAAGAAGACAGAGAAGAAGACGAAGTAAATAATAATGATAATAAATAATAATGGAAACGACGGCGATGCACAAAAGAACTCAAACACAATGCATTCACCGCGGAGGAAGAGACGACGTCGTCGTGGTGTAGTGGCGGGTGCAGCCGGCAATCGAGACGCGCGCACCCGGACTGTATCGTATGGTGCGAATAACCGCACGAGGCACGAAGACGATGTTTTTAGATTCCGAACTGAACAGAGTATTTTACGTATTGGTTTTGCTGTGATTCGCGCACGTGTGTGTGTTATTTTCGTATGTCTGTAAATAACTTTTTTACCAGAAATGCGCCGGTCAAATTGTACTGGACCTTTGTTTCTTCTTTGGATTTGCGATTTAATATTAGCGCATTGACCGTTGAGTAGATTTTTAATTTTTCCGTGTAATTTCCTTAATAAATGTGAAAAACTGACGATTTTTATTGACATTTTGCTTATACTTATTGGCGTTATTACTTAATGGTTTACCGTTGCGTACGGGTATAAATCAAATTACTCTTCCTACACGTATAATAATAATATATCTTCCATTTTAACTTCCCTCCGAAGTGACACTCCCATCTGCGGTATCGGTATATGAAAAAAAAACTAACGGAAAAAAAACCAAAATGATAATAATATAACCAATTTGATATGAATAATAAATAAATACAATTATTAGTATATTTGCTGTGTAATCAATGAAGTTTGAAGTGTTAAAATTGTTAATTGAAAAAAAAAAAATAAATGTACACCTAAAAAAATATTAAAAAATTGTATTTAATTGTATAAGCAATCACTTTCAAAAATTTTGATATATCTTTATTTGTATCATTTTTATAATTTAAATATAATTGTTTTAATTTTTGTTTAATGTCTTCTAATTTACTTTGCTTTTATCCAACACCTAATGACTCTTGTGTCAAAAAATACCTTGTCCAAAGAGTTACCATCAGCAAAAAAAAACGGTATCATCAGCATAACAGACTAGTTTATCATGCATCTTTTGATCGTTTATTTGTTTACTTTGAATATTAAATAGGGTGAGAGAGAGGTTAGTGCCTTGAAGTACTCCACATATTGATAATGTTTCTAAACTTAAGGAATTATTTATTTGAACTGTTTGTTTCCTATTTTTAAATACATGCTTAATAAGTCGTAAGCTGGACCTTGGATACCAAATTTATTAAAATTATTTAATAATATTTAATGGTCTATTATATTAAATTAAAAAAATATATGATGTATATAATATTTATATTGAGAAACATCTATATTATTACATTTATATTATGTGATTATATTTATTGTCTGATTATATTTTCCGTTGGTTTTTTTCATTGGTTTTTTTTTCTGGGATTCACAGTATCAGTTCTTTTTTTCTGTCTGTCTGTCTGTTTGTCTTCCCTGTCTGGATTTTATTTATACCAGTAATCTTGCTCAGATCATCGAATTCAGGGTTGGTTTTTGGGAGCAAAGTTTATCTAGTTGATTGAGTGGGGAGGTTTTTTCAGATTTTCTCCGTTGTTTACATAATAATTGAGAAAAATCTGAAAAACCCATGTAATAACAATTCTGTTCATTTCGACTTTGTTCATACCTGTGCAGTAAAAAAAAAAAAGGAGGAACATGTTAGTAATATATTTTATTATGCTTTTAACATTATATTTACTTTAGAATTTTTGCACTATAATGGGGGATTTTAAGTGTTTTCATCCGGTTTTCTTGTTTAGGGTTTAAAGCGAACATTTTTTTCATTTCGGTTATGATGGTGGCTTATTTTTTATAATAAGTGAATTTCCGTATTACAATAAAATTGTCTGTATTATGTTGTTTTTTTTCTCGCAAAAATCTCTTAATCCGTTTTAAACGCAATTTTGCCCTTTTTTAATGTTTTACGCGCGTTCGGCCTAAAAAACAAAAGAGACGAGGAATTCAATTTGTCCGTTTTTTGTTTTGCCGTATAGTCTCTGTCGCCGTTTTATGCAAGTGCGTAGTAGTAAAAAAAATATATAATAACGTCGCACCGTGCGATAATTTTTCTCTCGTGTTTCGTTATACCTATTATATAGTTACGCGATATTATAATAACAGAAACAATACAGGTGTACACTTCTTCTCCGTCGTTCGGTAGTCAGTGACGAAGAGAGCGAGAAACGAAAAACGAAGAAAAACGTCGAAATTATAAATGTGTTGTTTTTCCGCGCAATCGCGCGCGTATAGGACGACATAATAACAATTATTATTGCACAAAACTCGTGGGCGCCGTCGCCATTGACGGAAATAAAAAATTAAAAAAAAACCGTACAGACAACGAAACAAAAAAAAAAAACTACTTGCCCGAAACTGAATTTTTTGCACAACCTCTTCGACGTCGCGTGCCCGCTATCTATTATGTAGTATTTATGATAACAACATTATAATATTCCGCGACGCGTATGCGTATTATTGTCTGTGACGCGATGAATATTAATTGTCGCTCTTTGTTCGACTCAATCGATTTATACAAATTGTATGTATTAATATAATATACTCGTACTGAAAAGATGGACATATTTCGCACGATGGGCTGGCCACTGTTGTAGGCGAAAAGTTAGGAATGTAGAATTTAGAGGGGATTTAATTTATATCTGTACGCGATGATAAACCAAATGCTAATGAAAAACGATTCGGAGCGAAGTTTCTTTTGTACGTAAATGTTCCCGTTTTTCCTACGTTCTTTCCCGGTTTTCCCCGATTATTATAAAAACCGTTTAGAAAATAAAAACTGACCCCCATAAAGTTTCACCCGAATACAATTTTCATTCAGAAAAAAATACTACACTTGAAATTCGGAACAAAATTTCTAGTAAAAAATTTGTTCACAGATTAAAAAAAAAAAATTTTTAAATTAACATCACTGAAAAAATCAATACATTTTTCGCTACTCTCTGAATCTAAAATAATAGATACGAGGGAACGCGTTATTATTACCTATAATGTAAAATATATACTGAGTAATTCGTTTTTAACCGGCGAATGAGATCATTCTGACTCTCTTTTCGAAATTCATAACACTGGACAACTAAGTGAATAGTATAACACGAAATATACAGTCAAATTAAATCAATATTGTAAAATAGTACGCGAAACTCCGGGATTTTTATAATTTCCATTAGCGTTTGAACTTGAAACAGTTATAAATACACACGCTTGAGTTATAAGCGATAAGTTTAGCTTTCACGATAGTCGGAACTGAATCAATAAACTGCTAATTAAACTATAAATTGCTTCAAACGATCCGTTGAGAAAGTTCTACAGAATCTAGACATATTTTCAAAATTCTTATCGGAGTATTCCGCGAGCATGCTTCACGTCGAATTATTGGAATAGAAACATAATATGTTTTCAAAAAAAGGAAACTCCGCTTTTACGAATTCTCATAATGAGTTATAAATTTAATTTAATTTTTAACTTTTGACTTATTCTTTGTGTTTTTTTACTAACTTCGCTTTTAACTTGACTTTTGTTCATAGATTTTTAATATAATGTAATGATTTCATTTTGAACAATATCAAAGATTAATATTTCAATTTATATTATACATTTAATACTGTAATTTAATATGTTTAATTTAAAATTCATGCAATAAAAATAACTTACATTAATTGAATTTTCCAATTTAAAACTTTTTAACTCAATTTATTCATTAACTTGCTCATCATGTGGTAGTGACGTGTAAAGAAAATATTTTCGGAGTGGGCTAAAATGAATAGTGGTTTTTAAAAGTCAGAGGGCTGGCAAAATGTGCCTGGTAAAACAACCGTATTATTAAAATATGTTAAATCAAATTTATTGGTTAGAATCTCAGTAAAATATTAAGTATAGGTAAGGTATAAATAATTAATATAGATAGTTTTTAATATGTAATATTGATAGTTAGTTATCGAAATCATACTAAGTATAAAACACCAATACAAAATAGATAAAAAATTATTTAAACTACATGTTAACATATTATCACTGGTGCAGTGGTGCCGTTTGTCAAATGCATTTTTCGGAATTGTGGGCACTAATGAATAGTAGGACCGGTAGAGGATTGTTGTCTTTAACATTCTTCGAACAGGAAACTAACGATATACTGTGAAACCATTATTATTATGTGTTATAATATGAATTTCAAAATAAAATCTTCACAAACATTTATAATGATAATAATGATACTTTTATTTAGATACATTATTAACAGGACGACAAAGTGGATTTTATGTGGTGGTTTTGTAAGTTTTATTTTTAAAAATTAGTTTGGAAAGAAATTTTGGGGGGTGGAGGAGAGAGGTACTTTAGTATATTGTACCCTCCTTATATACGCCACCGGTATTTGGGTTAAGTAAATGCGCGTGAGTTAGAACTCGTATTAGTGTTATGCAATCGGTTTAATTTTCAAATATTAATACCGCGAAAATAATAAAAATTGCATGTTTCTTCAAAAAAAAAAAAAATCCGCATAACTCTGCAATAAATTATCATTTTACGATTTATTCGAGTTATTCACGATGTAAATTCGGATTTATTTTTATTACAAAAACGATAGTCAACTACACACTTGCAATATATTTGGAACACGCATCATTATCGTGTATTTCATCGATTGCACTCGAGGGTTACCTTGCAGTATCGGTTTTTTTCTTCCGTCTACTCGTACAAGAATGACTGGCTCTCATGTAAACGCATCGTCGTCGTTACGACAAATAATCGGTTACCCATAAACACCAAGCGTGTTGTAAGTATCTAAGTATATATTATGATTTATCAATCGGAGTGGTTTTGAGTATAATATGGAGAAGGTAAACATACGCCCATAATATAATCTATAAGGATAAGTATGGTAATTACCGTAACTATTTAGGGATATCACATTAAAATGTGCAATTTATCTATTAAGATTATAAATTGTCACAGAAAACGACAATATAATATCGAAATACGTATTTATTATTTTTAAACTTATCACAACAATATTGTATAATTTTGTTATAAAAGGCATATTAGTACTGAAATGTTTCAATACAGACAATAACGTTATATGTGTATTTCCTTGCTCGATCGTGTCGTATTTTGATATTTTTTGGGTTTCTATTATTTGATTGTATGTGTGCTTAATTGGGTTGCAGTCACTTTTACCAATCACCGCCGGGCCGCTGTGTCCTCATGCACAGAGTTGCTTTTATCCAGACGGAAGATAATATTATTATTATTATTATATCTTTTATTTTATTCGGATAGCCGAGAGC